CCCCCCCCCGGAGATCTAGCCATGCACGTTTTTGTTGCATTTTGTTAATTCTCCAGCCTCATGGCTGCTTCTTCCCTGGTCCTCCAACCAGCAGTAGTGAAATACTTGCAACTGCTCAGCACAGTGATGCTTCAAGCCTTTGTACTTTACTCATGTTCTTTTCCATGATCTAGTGCTCCCCCAACCCCTCCCCTTTACCTCCTCCATCTTTTTCCTTGCTCCACATACTTCCTTCACCTGGCAGAGCCCTGTTCATCCTTAAAACTGCCAATTCCTCAATGAAGACTTCCCTCACCCACAACTCCTTCCTTTGTCCCAGCACCCCTCCTCTGAATGGATCCTGTTCCCCAAACATGAGTCTCTCCCTGTATCTGTCACTGGCAGTTGTGATAATTATTCACCCGCCCTGTTTCCTCCACCTGCTCTGTACCTCCATGTGGGACCCAGGGCCAGCACATAGCAGGTGCCTCATGAAAGCTGTTGCCCTAGGGTTGCTCTCGCTCTGCACCATCACCTCCCACCTTGAGCAAGTCCTTTAAATGCTCTAACTCCCATTTGTTGATCTGCAAGGTGGAGAGATGTGAGGATCAGAGGGCCATGTGTATTAAAAAATATACATGGCTAAGTGCTATGCACATGTTTTTGTTGCCTTTTTTGTTTGTTTGTTTTTTGTTCCAGATTAGTGTTTACCTGCACTTGCCTGAGTGGAAATCATAAGATGAAAGGAATCTGATGTCATCTTTTTGTAATTTCCCTACCTTGAGTCCAGGGAAAGCTGGTCAAGAGTAAACCATTAATTTTGTCTCCCTGCGGCCCCCAGTCTTCTCTGAAGCTCTGGGTTAATGATTCTGAGGCTGCTTTCTTCACAGGGCCAATTCGTATCTAATCTCTGGCATGTTCCCTTCTTTCTTAAGAATAGCTTGACTCACTCCAGTGACTCCCCATCCTGGAATCAGGAACTTGTTTCGCCAAAGGAAACGGGGCATGTGTAGGCCTCAGCAGTGCCCCACCCCAGGTCCAGCATTCCCTCTACCAACAGAAAAGACCCCATGCTCCCATGATGAATTCTGTGAAAGTCACAAACTGAGAATCCAAGCAACAAGGATGCTGTGACCTAACTCATACCCTCCTTCATATGAAGTTTAAGGGTTTGTTTTCAGAACCCCAGAAGAAGAAAGTTCTTGAAGATGTGCTATAGAGAAACCATTCTGAGACTGGCTTTCAAAAGTTTAATTAGCAGCTGGGGGAGAACTAGGCTGCAAAGAGAGGCAGCCCCAGTCAGGAGTGGGCCATGGAATTCCAGGCAGGTGGCCTGTTTGTGGCTGGAGTGCAGGTGATGCCAGAAGCTGGGGACAGAAGCCTGGGAGCCAGATACAGCTCAAGGGTGGTCTGGACACTTTGGAGATAAGACCAGCTAAGGGCTGCAAGCTCACTGGAGTTTGAAAACCAGCTCCCCAGCAACCACACCTCTCCCTCCCCTCAAACCAGTAAATTTGATGCTCATTTCTATGGAATTTTGGGCTGTGTTGGTAAGAGAATGCTGATGTCTCAGGTTCTTGTTCTGGGCCAGCCTCTTTAGACTTGTTTGCTCTGCTTCCTACCCATACCCGAGACAGGGCTGTGCATGAAGCAAAGATCCCACTGTGTGACCATAACGAGTTATTTCTCTGAGCCTCAGTGTTCTCTGTAAAATAGGAATCTCATTCCTCCTTTTTCTAATAATCAAATAGGTTTCTTGTAATAATTTACCTAGAATAAAGATAATTTAAAGAGACTAGACCTTTCAGACATCCCACTTGTGTGCATATATCAGAGTGAAAATACAGGAGAAGGCACTGGTTATGGTATCGCTGAGGCAAATCATTACATCACAACTGCCATGGTGATTGTATCTCTGATTTCAGAGTATTAAAATGTGAAAAGAAAATGCAACGCCCCCGTGCCCACCACCTTGCTTAAGAAATAGAACAATTCCCAACAGCACTAAAAGCCTTGTGCTCACCAATTTGATCTCTTAACTTCCCACCCTGGAAAAAACTGTTGTGCTGAATTTTGTGTCTACTGTTCTATTTTTATCTGGTTTTAGCAAACATGCACCCTATGCAGTGTGTGCAATCTTGTTTTTTAGCTCTTCTCTGAATAGAATTACGTTCTATTCTGTGACTTGTTTTTTAAAAAATTATGAGGCGTTTATCTATGCTAACATCCTACTGTATCAATTGTTGTTGGAAATATGGGCTGTTTCCAGTGTTTTGCTGTTACATTGTTTTTGCTAGAAACATTCTCATAGCTGTCTCCTAGAATATGTGTTTCTCCAAGGTATATACCCAGGAATGGATTGCTAAGTCTAGATGAGAATGCCCCCCCCCCCAGTTCTGATTGCCAACAAATGCTGATGCACCCCTCATTCCTTCCCTGAAAAGCCCAAGGAGAGGTGAATCCTGTTCTTGTTTTGTCTGTGGACCTTCAGGGGGAAGAAATATTTATAAAAAGGACAGGGAGATGTTGGAGGTAGAGCTTCCCAGGCCGTAGCCTGACTTTCAGCCATGGCCCTGGGAAACAAAGCCAGGAAGGAGTTGAGGCAAGATGGAGCTCCCCTGCTGGCTCTGCTCTAGACTGGACATTGGGGTCTCAGGCTGCAGCACAGTTGACATCACAGAATCTACTGTGAGGTCGCTACTAGACTAGGGGACATAGAAATTCAGACAGAAAGCAGCGTTGTATCGATCTTTATTTAAACTGCAGTAAGGAAAGCTGTAATAGGCTCTCCACAGATCCTCCCCTGAGTCCCCGTCCCCTTTGTAGCTTCCAGTTCTGGGTCCTACTAATAGGGTTCAGAGGTCACTGTCTCCATGATCTCAGATGTACTATCAATCATCTCCAGTCCCTGGCCACTCTCTCCTATCTCTATAATGCCCTCCAGGCTGTTCCTTTCCATTGTCTTAGCTAAACTGTCCACATCCTTACCGTGTGGTGAGGCCACTATTTTTGTAGTAAGATTGGCTTTGATGCTCCTCAAAAAAGAGCTGATCCTGCTGAATCTCTTGGTTGTGGAACCTGAATTACTTGTGGACAAACTTCTCCCAGATTTGTGAGAGGTCCTGGAGTCCTTGGTGATCGGTGCGTGGCTGATGCTTTTGTGGGTGGTGGCAGGCCTGCTGCCCCCTGGTCTGCTGAAACCTGGCTCCTTTTTGTCATTTCTCTGCCTGGTTAAGGACCAGCCAGATGGTTTTCCGAGTACCTTGTCACCCCCTGGCTTCTGGCAGCTTACAGTTGCCCTTAGGTGATGGGGACTCATGAGATCTCTGTCCCTTTCCCTTCGCTCCCTCCTGTCCCTTCTACTCTTGCGGGCTTCAGCCCTGGCTAGGGACACTTGTGGCTGCCTTCTGGCCTGTTCACTCACATTGCCTTCCTTGGGCAAGGTTGAGATGAGAGGTTCTGCGGTACGATCGTTAGCTATTTCTCCAACAGTCTTGCTGGTAGGTTCTGCTTTTGCCGTTGCAACAATCATGCTGGTCTCTGGGGAGAGGCTAGTGTTGGAAGAACACTCTGAAGACTTGTTTGCAGCACCTGCAAAGGCCATCTTAATGCTCTTGGGTGACATGTTGGCAGCACCTGCAATGGCTATGCTGGTGTTGCTTCCCCCTGGATCCTTGGTGGCTGCCCCTGTTATGGCCATGCTTATTCGTTCAGGGGCAGCAGACTTGGTGATTGCCATGCTCAGAGCGCCTGCTGTGGTGCCTGCTGCCACCCCGGCTGCTGACGCTTTGTCAAACTCTGTAGGCTTTGTGTTTGGGATGGTTCCGTCAGGCATGGCAGTGAATCTGTGGGAGTCATATTGGATACCCTCCCCCCCAGAAAAAGCTGCAGAGGTGGCCTCAGCCACAGAGGCCACGTGGAGACTTCTGATGTTGACCCGGTCCTGATCTGGTTTCCTTTGGAAATCGGCCACTGCCGCCCTCCTCCTGTCCTCTTCTTCAAACACAGGCTTGTATGTCATGTCCCTGGCAGGAGTGGTATAGGTACTATTGTTACTGCCCACCGGTGGCTGCAGGAGGCAAATGAGGTTTTCCCAACAGGCAAAGAGGTTTTCTGGAGCCTTCCTAGGGGGACACAGCTGCAGGTAGCAGGAGCTGCCAGTGGTGAACTTCAGGCGCAGCTGTTGTTTCTCATGGTCATGAATGGAGATCTGCACAAACTTCAAGGGGAGAAGCCTAGTGAGCTCTAAGGTCTTTGCAGCCTTATGGGTTTTTCTCCTGGTGACTTTGCTGTGCCCTCCAAGCTCTTCCCAGCAGGTGGCCTGGTGGGCCAGCAGCATGACATCTGGAAGTGGGAGGACAGGGCTGGTGCATGTGATGCCCATGGTCACCACGCGGACATGGTTGTGCACATCAATCACGTCTCCCTTTCTTGTGATCTGGATAAAGTCGCTCTCAAACATAGGTGCGTACTTGAAGATGTCATATTCTCCCTTTTGCAGTTGTCGCTGCAGTTTCCCCCTGGTGGTATTGAACATACTGGAGCCACTCTGGTTCATGTAATATGGTAACAGAGACTCCCTGTTCATGGCTTTGTTTGATCACAACAAGCAGTGTTGGCAAGACAGGTCCCTGGGTGTTCTCTTTCTTGGCCTCGTTGGAGAAGAGGGAGCAGTAATGCTCCTGTATGACACAGATGGCTCTATGTAGGTCTCTCAACCTCACCCCAACCCCACAGGGACCCCTTTGCCTCCTAGCCTCCCAGAGGCAGGGGTGGGAACAGGTCACAGATGATTGCTGTGGGGATGCTAGAGGGTGATTGGACCCCAGGCTGAACCTCTTTAAAGATGTAGAGATGTAGAGTGGGCTTCCCTTCCGCCTCACCTTGCCTCCTCCTCTGATTTTTTATTTCCCCAAGAGGCTGTGAACTCCACTTTCTCAACTTAAATCCCCTGCAAGGCCATACTTATACTCCTCTGCCCTTTGTGACTTGTCATTGTCACATACCCCTTTGTTCTCACCCCCCAGCCTCCCCCTCAGGGCAGGGCAACCATCATTTCCCCAAACACACATTGCCCCCACAGAGGACAGGCCCACTGTGCCAGGGACGCAGGTGGGTTCCAAAATAAAAATTGGACAAAACCTGTAGGAACATAAGATGATGGGATAAATTTGAACCATTTGAGCTCAAGGTTTAATTTAATCAAATAACCCAAAATTGGCAGTCTTGGTCCCTAGCCTATGCTTTCATAAAGTCTCAGTAAATGTTGATGACAATGACCTTTAATAATAACATTAACAATTGCTTCCCCTAGGCAGCATGCTGTGTTCTTCACACAGGATTATAAGAATCTATTGAGTTTGGTACTGTTGCTACCATCCCTGTTTTACAGGTGAAGAAATTGAGATTGTATCCCTTGCCTAAGTTTATACAACTAATGGCAGTGGAGGCAGTATTTGAATGCAGGTCTAACTGATTCCACAGTCTTTGTCCTGAACCACTAAGTACTTTGTCTCATAGAGGAAGCTTGGGTCGACCAAATGTTTTCGAACTGGATTGATTTAACAACCTCCAAGAAGACACATTTTGTGTATTACTAGAAGTTGCATAATTAGTTCTGTTTATATGTGTACATTATGGAGAGAATCCAAGACAATGGCTGGACTGAGTTGGGAATTAAATTATCCAGGGGCCACCCTGGCCAGTGTGGTTCAGTTGGTTGGAGCATTGCCCCATACACCAAAAAGTCGTGGGTTCAATTCCCAGTCGGGGCACATACCCAGGCTGTGGGTTTGATCCCCATAGGGGTGCATATGGAAGGTGACAGATAGATGTTTCTCTCTCACCTCGATGTTTCTCTCTCTCCCTCTCCCTTCCTCTCTCTCTCTCAAATCAATAAAAACATATCATTGGGTGAGGATTAAAAAAATAAATAAATAAAAGAAATTATCCAGGGGCCACCTCAGTTCCCCTGTGCAAAGAGCCTGTATAAGCTTCAATTCCAGGAGACTGCCAAAGGCCCTCCTGCAGAACCTACCAACAAGAAGTTGTTGGGAAGCATTGACACCTATGGGGAGCATGTACCATGCCTCCTGCCTTATTGCCACTCCCACAGAGCTAGTCACAGAATAAGTGATTTCTAAATTGTTACTTGAAAGTTCTGAGAAAGACCTCTGTTCCCAACCCTCTTATCTCTCACCTTAGAGATTCATTCTTTGAGAACACAGGCTATCTTTCTGTTAAAAGACACCTGTGCATCAACAGATGAGTAGATAAACCAAATTTGGTCTATCCATTCAGTGGAATATTATTCAGCCATAAAAAGGAATGAAATACTGATGCATGGATGAATCTTGAGAACACTTTGCTAAGTGAAAGATGCCAAATACAAAAGGCCACATATGGTATGATTCCATTTATATGAAATATCCAGAGAGGCAAATCCATAGAGACATATTGGATTATTGGCTGCCTAGGACTGGAGGGAGGAGAGAATGCTGAGTGACTGCTTAATAGATATAGGATTTCCTTTGGGATGATAAAAAATTCTGGAGCTAGTGGTGATGGTTGCACAGTATTGTGAATGTACTGAATGCTACTGAATTACACAGTCTAAAATTGTTACAATGGTAAATTTTATGTTGTGTGTATTTTAATTACACACACACACTGGTTCAGAACCCTGATAGTTAAAAAACATTTGGTTTCAGCTTTAGAAAGGTCAACTGTGTGACCTTGAGCAAGCTCCTCAGCTCTCTACTTCCTCATCTGTAAAATGGGGATAATAACAATTGCTGGGAGGGTTAAATGAGATAGCGCATTTAAAGTGTTGCGAATATTGTCTCAATAACTGTTAGCTATTATTGGATTAGTCCTCAACTAGCCCGTTAAGCCTTGGTGTGAATTCTTTCCTGAGAGCAGATTTGATTAGACAAAGAGAGAAGCTTCTAGGGTTAGAGCACCATGAGGAGACATAAGGATGCTCAGTGGGTAAACCTGGCCTCCTGTGAGGTTGTAACTCAGGCAGATCCATGACAAAATTGTTCATGCCACAGAGAATCTGCATGAACACAACCAAATAGTATGGGGTGGAGACGAGAGGAGAAAGATTGATTTGGGTTTGAGTTTCAAGGGTTTGTTAAAAGCCCATCGGGAGAAATTAGGATAAAGATGAAAAAATAGTCAGCATTTTAGCTCTTGGCAAAAAGTGAAAGTTTCAATTCCAGAACCCCTGTCCTGGGTCAGAACCCTTTAAAGCTCCTTACTCCAAAAGAGTCAGGCCAGATCTCAGAGAAAGGTGAGGAGGCAGGTTGAGGGCAGGAGGAGGGAGGGTGGGCTTCCCATGACCTGTGAGTGTGATGTCACCACAGAGGCAGCCCAATGAAAAGACATTGCCATTCTGGCAGAGATCCCATCCAACTTTATTCTCTCAGACAACCTGCCCCCCCCCCCAAAAAAACCTTCCCTTTCCATTGGATGTGACACAAGATGAACTAAAGGACTTGATGGTAAATACATTATTCATCCTTTTTTTAAATTAAAGAATCAAAACATAAACTTGGCTGCAGAAAACAAAACTATTTGTAATGCATTTGTTAGAAGAACTCAGTTTCACTAACCATATACAGTGCATTTCTCAGATCAATTTTTCCTGCCATAGCCACCAACCCCTTCCTTCCTCTCTAATCCATTGTCCATGGCAGCTTAAAAATTGTCCTGAGTTTCATAACAGCTGGTCAGTGGCACCTATACCACACCAGAGGGTAAATGCAAGGGATTCCCCCGCTCTCTCCACCACGATAAGGAAAAGATTATCTCCTAAAAGAAGGGTGAATGGCACTTCCACCAGCTGGCTCTTTACAGATTGGGAACTGCCCCTGATGTGCAATTAAAGCAGCAAAAGTAGGAAACCTGTGTCACAGGTGATAGGTTTTTTTACTTTTTCTTTTTTAATCCTCACCTGAGGATATTTTTTCCATTGCTTTTTCAGAGAAAATGGAAGGGGAGGAGAGAGAGATAGAGAGAGGAACATGGATGTGAGAGAGACACATCGATTGGTTGCTTCCCAACCAGGGCCGAGGATTTAACCTCAACCGAGGTACATGCCCGTGGCCAAAATCGAACCCGGGACCCTTCAGTCCGCAGGCCAATTGATGCTCTAGCCACTGAGCCAAACCGGCTAGGGCACGGGTGATAGTTTAACGGAAACATACATGAGTTCAAAGGAGCAGGCACCATTCCTCTGCATGAATCTTAACATTGAATGAAGCCAATATCTCTCTGAAGAACAGCATTGGTGGCAGAGTAGCCAATTTTTATTTCTCGCCTGAGTGTTACATATGTGCACAGGGAAAGAGCAAGGGAGCCTGGTTCTGTTCTAGACCTAAGGAATCATATGCCCCAGGGATTCCAGGAAATTAGGTAGAATACTTTTCTTTGAATTATCACACCTATCCCATCTAAAATTATCCTCCCTTTCTTTTTCCCCATTGTATGGTAAATGGGAACATGGGCCCCTTCCCATGCTCCAACTCCCCCGCCTACCCTATGGGAAATACAGTGAAGGCCTTCTGTGAGCAGACTGTGAGACCTTGGGAACTTGGCCAGCAACTCGGTCTAAGAAAAGCCAGAGAACTGCTTCTAGATGTGAGCCTGGATTATAAACCGCTAGTGCTTTGATTTTATAAAGGCACGTACCCCTCCCCGATTGCCATTTTTCTGTTTTCTGTATTCTATAAAGCCTTGTTCTGGGTGGCAGCAGAACAGTAGCACCTGTTGGCTTCCCCCTGTGTGGCCTGTCCACAGGCTGGATGGGACTTAGTGGGACAACTTCACCAGTGGCAGCCAGTGTGGCGGTAAACTTCATCGGTCGGTCACCACCAGTGCCTAAGTCAGAAGTCAGTCCTTATAAACCCATGTCTTTCACAGCCAGTCCTCCAGGTTATTTCTTGCGAATCCACAAACAATATGCTGAAGTTTTCAGGGACCTCAGCACTTTGCATAACACCCATCCTGCCCTCATTTTTCCCCTGATATTTGAAATACGTATTTGCAACAGTGAGACACACATCTGGGCGTTATAACGCATGTCATTCAAGTGAGTGCTTCAAGAGAAGCTCTGCCGCTGAATGGAAGGTGTCCATGGCTCAAGTTGAACAGCAGGTGCATGCTTTAGGCTTTCAGTGTATTCAGAGAAACTGATAGTTGAGGTATTTAGCAATTTAGATTTTATATCAAAATTCTACCTTAACACCAAACAGTTGGCCTAAGTGATATCCAGGGTTTGTTAATGAGAAATTGAGCATCAGATGCCATAGACTGAGGAACAGCTAGTGGCACCCCAAAGAACCAAGGGACACCCTCCCCACCCCCTACCCCCAAGAAACCAGAACAACACTTAAGTTTACCATATATTGGTATCAATATTTATTATATTGACAGGTTAGGAATACTAGGATAAATAGTATTTTTTTTCTTACAGAAAATTGTAATGATACTATTGAGTAAGATTTAAACACTCTGAGAATTTCACAGAAACGTCAGAATTTAAACAGACCAGAGTCCTTGTGGCCAGTGTGAATGACCTCTCACAGTTGTAAATGCTCTGGGACAGATTTCTATAGACGTCTGCATGACAAAAACAATGCCATTAACATCCAATAATGCTAAAGCCTAGGCATCACCTAGCTTCAAACATGTCTCCACTTAATGTGGTTTTCAGCTGCAAGAAAAGGAAATCGGAATATTCTTTGGCTCTTCCAGCCTAGGAATAACTCCTGACCTGAGTCACTGAGCAGAGAGTCCTAGCCCTTTGGAAGGTGGACTTTTTGCTTTCTTCCTGTGACAGAGGGCCTGCAGTCGTGCCCGTGAATTTTGCGTTAATGCCTGGGTGCCAAGGGAAAAGAGGCCTTCTCTGTTGGCACAAAACTGCGCTATTGGCTGGCAAAATTCTGTTCTCCTGGGGCTGGCAAGCTCTTCTGGCCGCCTGAACATATTGTAAGATGCTACACATGGTGATAGCCCCTCAAACTCTCAGAAACTAGATCTGAGGAAAATCTCGAAAAAGTCACACCAGTGCTATCAGAACAAACATCAGGAGAGCACAATGCCTAGTTATGAAACAGATGCCTGCACACAGTAATTCCTGTACATAACAGCATATTTGCTAAAAGCACAGCCCTGGCCATTGCACAACTTTGCTAAATGCCATTCTCACTCCATGTTCCCTACAGTGACTGTGGCAGTGGCAACGGAGGAGGTGACCCCAC